CAAAGAAAAAAGGGGGTAGCCGCGCATTTTTTTGAATCTCAACAAAAATGCTGACATCAGCATTTTCTGACAAAAAGATGGAAAGGATATTTCTTCACAGATTTCCTTTGAATTCGCCCTTACAAACAGAAAAGCACACACGTTTATCAAGATCTTAAAACTGCATGGTAAATGGTAACATAAAAACCATTTTTGGTTTGTTTTTAATAACAAAATCGTTGCAACAGCGCTTTTAGCGTCTCTGATAGCCTTCCTCGGGTTCAGCCAAAATACAGTCTAAGTACCTTTTGCTCACATTCAGAAACTAATCACGTGTTGAATAGGCTTGCCACTTCCATTTCATAACATAAAATTTAGGGGTAACCACGCGTTTTTTTAAAGTTATTGATCTTTTTTGAAAACTTTCACGGTGTCCGCTACATTTTTTCTTGTCACCTCCCCTGTAAGTAAAACATTTGCGTATTTCGCACTTCTTTTGCGCGCGCACTACGCCATCTGCAGGTACATGTTTACAGTCGGATTTCAGTGTAATTTTCGACATATAACAGATAGGTTTTCAGCTGGAAGACGTTAACATGTAGTGGTTTGCGATATGCTGCTATTCTGGTGTTCCTGGTTTATGTACGGGTTCATTAAACTTGATTTGCTCACAGTAGAAAAATGTTGCTTTTTTTTAGTCGTGTACTTGGTAGCGTAGCTGATTGCGTCAATGTCAACCCCAGCGCGCGCATGGCGCTTAAACCATGCCTTGCGTGATGCGCAGAAAGTATGCGCACTAACAAATGTAGGCACCGTCCTTAAATCAATTAAATGCGACATATTTCAATTAAATGCAAGTTCAGTCGAATATTCGACTGATCCAGTCGAATATACGACTGAAGTTCGACAGTTGATTTAACGCCGCATTTTACATGTGCCGAATCTAATTCATAAATTATGTTAAATAAATTATGTTTGCTCGAATGGGAGTTAACACGTCGCTATCGCTCGCGCTCAGCAATTTTATTCGACAAAAAAATGCGACGTTTAAATCAAATCAGCCGAACTTATTCATTCGAGTCGACTCAAATTAGTATTTGATTCGGCGTGTGTAAAATGCGTCGTTTAAGCCGGGACTTAAAACCCATTCAAATTGACAATTATAGCTGACGCAAGACCGAAATAAACCAATCATATTTCAGATCGTAATGATGGGGAATCCCCGTAGAATCAAGGCCATTTTCCGAGAAACTTAGTGACATAAGCATTTTATAAGAGGATTGTTAAACGGTAGCCAAACACGCTCATCTTCTTTGCTGTCGACGGATTTCAATAGTGTGTAATGCATTTGAAAAACCAAACGTTCGTTTGTTTTACATAGTGATTATTTGTACAAAATATTTATTTCATCCATCGTTTACTAAAACCGGAAGTTAACAAGCGATATTATTGTTTCTCGTTCGCTTGCAAGGACAGCGTTTCGACAAGGCTCTCTTTTGATCGTATCTGCTGCAGTCGTGACGCACGGAGTGCCTGTGGCAATGGAAATTCTGGGTACACGAGTTGTCCGTGGACGAGATTGGGAATGGGGGAATCAGGATGGCGGAGAAGGTTGTGTAGGAACTGTGGTTGAAATCGGTGAAGACAAGAAATCACCTTTTACCCCTCAGCTTGTTTGGATTCAGTGGGATTGTGGGACTAAAGCAAACTACAGGGCTGGCTTCGATGGAAAACACGATCTCCGTGTGTTTGAAACCGGAAATCAAGGTGAAATTTATCGTTATTTTATTATATTTCCTCCTATGTCGAACTCGCAACTCGTTGCCATAAAGAGGTAAAATAAAATGCACTACAAGCGTAATTTATTCCAAACAGTCAAAACAACGAATGTTATAATTAATGCATAAAACTCTGTGGTTACAGTCTATTTTATTGGTGGCAACTAATATCAAAACGATCGAGACCCTGAAAAATCATTTCGATTTACTTTCGATAGTATAGTTGACAGTCTGAAATGCTTGAGCGGAATTAAATCTATAACCGAGTTATAAGCGAAGTCACAAAATTAATACCAGCCACTCGTGACTTCGACGAAATCGACGCGGAAAACTTCGCGCTTTCTAGGAAAAAAAAAGATAATAATAAAACCATCCATATGGTTAAATTTTCCGTAATCGTGACGGTGCTCTCTTTCAAAGGAAGTGAAGCGTAAACGTGCGTATATTATACATACATTTTTTTTTTGCCTATAGACGCTTAAAAGCACTTTGTACTACAGTGACATCTAATGGATGTTACAAACGACAGTGCGACTATGCAAGTGATGTTTACTTGCTATGTTTGCTGGCTATCGTCACTCACTCTTTCACTCAATTCGTGTGACCTTAATTTTATTAATTGTATCCTGTAGATGGTTGCTTAATTTTGTTTTTAATTTTCTCTTAATTTTTTCTTAATTTTCCTCATTCTGGACTCACGATAAGGTCATCAATTCATTAGATGTTGCGTTCTGTTCTAGGGGTAAGGCACGTTTACGTCTGTTGCGATGGCTGCAATCAAGATCCTGTTGTTGGTTTGCGCTGGCGCTGTTTAAACTGCGCAAACTATGATCTCTGTACCACGTGTTACATGACAGATATTCATGATACCACTCATCGTTTTGAACGCATTGACAAGAGTCGTGCCAAAGGGTAAGTTGTCAAGATGATCAAACTATTACTTTATTATTATTATTGTGCAAGGTTAACTTCAAGGTCAGGGATATGTAAAAAAATCCATAGAACAGAACCTTAAAAAATTGGATTAAGAAATCAGGAAATAATCTCTGTTGTAGTTAGAGTGATTATTTCACGTAGCAAATTAATTGTGTTATCTCGGATAGGAGAGGGGGAGTTCGTATTTTGATATTATTTCACCCCTATCCCTGTCCCTCAAGGCCTATCAGTCCTATTAGAACCCGGTGCTAACTATAAGAAGAACGAGTCGATATTACAACTTTGGTACGGCACCGACTACCAAGAAATATATAGTTTTAAGGTATCGGTTTCTTTTACATTAGAATTGAAATACAGAGTGAATTATAAGGATCTTATAACAATCACTTTCGCTTACCACACTGAAAGTCAAGCTTAGTTAAATATATGCTTGGGGCAATTTAATAGTGTACCCGTTGGAACAAGGCAAGGATCCCTTAAACTTGAAGCCCGTGGAATGTTTAAAGGCGCCAAAGTGGTCAGGGGACCAGACTGGGAGTGGAAAGAATCAGATAGAGGCTCCGAAATGGAGGGCGAAGTTACTGAGATCACGGGATGGAGTGACGACACCTTGAATGATGCTGTTCGTGTGGCTTGGAAGAGTGGACCGAAAGGGAACATTTACAGACTTGGAACAGATGGAAAAGTACGTTTGTTATCATTTTTTTAACCCGCTTTTTTTTAAATTTTATTTTATTTATTTATTTATTTTTTTATCGGAAGGACCAGGATATTGGTCCATTATTTTCTAACCGTACTCATGTTTTTATGTTATGCCTTGACTTTACTAATCTTCTCTGAGAGAAGCAATGCTGATTTGAAAGCAAGTACTATTTAAGCAATAGACCACTCTTTCTATGGGTTTACTGGGGCAATAAACCACGCGGGATGTTGGGAGAAAACAAGAAAAGCTTGTAAATCACGAACCGTTAGGCGAGTGATTTGCAGGCTTTTCAAGTGTTCTCCCAACATCCCAAGTGATTTATTGCGCCGGTAAACCCATAGAAGGAGTGGTCTATCGCTTTTATGAAATAACTATGGAAAAAGCCTGTCAATGAGAGGAAATTTTATTGTGTTTTCGTGATCAAGTTGCTTATTCTCATCAAATTCATGAGATGACGCGACAAGCCAATTACAGTGACTGAAAGAGTGAAAGCACAGACTCCGCGCAGGACACGAAATCCGCAGAGCAAAGCGACGAAAACATTTCACGCCAAAAAAGTTTTAAGAAAGAAAAGGAAAAGGTTATCGGTGAAAGGCAAAAAGAATATCAATTGACTCAAAAGTATTCTGACGGGGATATGCAAGGATTCGTAGGTGGAATCGGTCATCATGAAAGTAAAAGTCTTTATTATTTGGCTGTGTCTCACAAGGACTGGGAACTACCGAATTCCCGAATTTGATTGGCTGAAATCGATATTGCCCGCGGTCTAGATTTTCCCATCTAGACCGGCATCTAGACCGGTTTCATTTTACGTTGAAAAAGTAGCAAACTAAAATACAAAAATGTTCACCATTTTCTTTTATTTTCTTCTGAATCGTTTATGGAAGTGCCAAGAAGCCTGATCTGATGACAAAAAATGAAAAAGTAAAGAGGACGAGCAAATTTCGGCAGGTTTAAGTTAAGCTCATCGTCGTTCGCAAGCAAAATGTCAGCAAACCAGTTACATTAAACGAATTAGAGTTTTCTTCTTTGCCATATATTAAACATCTTATTAACCGAACTAAGTCGGTCTGTGTGGGATAATCTTGGCCTCGGTCGTGTGTACAGACCTCACTGCGTTCGGTATCCTGCTCTGTTAATAAGAGCTAAATACGAAAAGTTTGCAAGTAGTCCAAAGTTCATGAAGTTCATGTGCTTGGCGAGGTGATTCAACGCAGTGTTTAACGATAACTTTCCAAAGTTTTGCGAACGCAACAAAGGTTGATTACAGAAACGTTGCTTCCGAAATTTATTTAGAATTTATTTACGTATGCTGAACATCATGAGTTCCGTGTTTCTCTGTATTTTGCTAAATGAAAACTATTGCTTGAAAGCTAAGTTTATGGAAACCAAATTCATTTATCGTGTTATGCATGCATGCATTGAATTTAAACTCAAAATTTCTGATAGAAAGAAGTACTTTCCCCGGGTTTTTTGACAACCCAAATTGATCAGTCAAGCCTAGTTGACTCCGTCCTCAAAAGACCGTGTAAAGCACCGGAAAAAGGGTCTTAAACTTTGTAAGATCCAAGTGTAACATTTTTTCTATTATTCGTTCTTGCGTAATTTGTTTTTCCTTTGCGTAC